TAAATGCAATATTGTTCACCGAATATTTGTGCCCTTGAAAAATAAACAGTTCCGTTTGTCCAAACGTTCTTTTAAAATTGCAGATTCCATATTTTTCCTGAGTGAACTAGTATCGTCAAAACAAAGAGAGCTTAAACATTACTAGTGTAGCAATAAACTTCACATCTGCTTATAACATATGCCTCCGTATATTGGACCTAAATCTGAACTTTTAAAAATTTCACAATACTTAAAGGTCAAAAGAATGGGCTTCAGAATAAAATCACAAGACTCTCAACTTTATTAAACTGTAAATAAATTAATCATAGGGCTAAAAAAGCACAGGAGAATGATACAGTTTACCCAACATCTGACTAATACTAAAGTTTGGTCGTTTGTTCAGGGAATTGTTATCCTATTTTGGCTTAACAAGATTTTAAAATACAACATAATGCAAACTTTTTAAAATTAAAAAAAAAAAATAATCATAGGGCTAAAAAAGCACAGGAGAATGATACAGTTTACCCAACATCTGACTAATACTAAAGTTTGGTCGTTTGTTCAGGGAATTGTTATCCTATTTTGGCTTAACAAGATTTTAAAATACAACATAATGCAAACTTTTTAAAATTAAAAAAAAAACCAAGTGTATACAAAACAGCCACAGTCAGCTCCAGGTCTTGTTCTTACTGACTGGATAGAGCTTCTCCATATTTGACTGCAAATTATATAGTCAATCTGATTTTGGTGTTGCCCATCTGGTGATGCCCATGTGTAGAATCGCCTCTTAGGTTGTTGGAAAAGGGTGTTCGCTATGACCAGTGTGTTCTCTTGACAAAACTCTGTTAACCTTTGCCCTGCTTCATTTTGCTTTCCAAGGCCAAACTTGTCTGTTATTCCGGTTACCTTTTGACTTCCTACTTTAGCATTCCAGTCCCCTATGATGATGAGGACATCATTTTTTGGTGTTAGTTCTAGGAGGTGTTGTAGGTCTTCATAGAACCGGTCCACTTCAGCCTCTTCTGCATCAGTGGTTGGGGCATAGACTTGGATTACTGTGATGTTGAATGGTTTGCCTTGGAATCGGACCGAAATCATCATGATCTTAGTTTTTTTGATGTTGAGCTTCAAGCCCACTTTTGCGCTCTCCTCTTTTACTCTGAGCAAGAGGCTCTTTAGATCCTTTTCACTTTCAGCCATTAGAGTGGTATCATCTGCATATCTGAGGTTGTTGATCTTTTCCCCAGCAATCTTAATTCCCGCTTGTGATTCATCCAGGCCAGCATTTCGCATGATGTACTCTGCATATATATTAAATAAGCAAGGTGACAGTATACATCCTTGTCGTACTCCTTTTCCTATGCTGAACCAATCAGTTGTTCCGTATCCGGTTCTAACTGTCGCTTCTTGGCCCTTATACAGGTTTCTCAAGAGACATGTGAGGTGGTCTGGTACTCCCATCTCTTTAAGGACCTGCCATAGTTTGTTGTGATCCACACAGTCAAAGGCTTTAGCATAGTCAATGAAGCAGAAGTAGATATTTTTCTGGTACTCTCTTGCTTTCTCCATAATCCAGCGAATGTTGGCAATATGATCTCTCGTTCCTCTACCTCTTCGAAACCCAGCTTGTACTTCTGGTAGTTCTCTATCCACGTACTGTTGAAGCCTAGCTTGTAGGATCTTGAGCATGACCTTGCTAGCGTGTGATATGAGTGCAATTGTGCGATAGTTTGAACATTCCTTGGCATTGCCCTTCTTTGGGATTGGAATGTATACTGATCTTTTCCAATCCTGTGGCCACTGTTGCGTTTTCCAAATTTGCTGGCAAATGGAGTGCAGAACTTTAACAGCATCCTCTTCTAAGACTTTGAATAGCTCAGCTGGGATACCATCACCTCCACTAGCTTTGTTGTTAGTAATGCTTTCTAAGGCCCATTTAACTTCACATTCCAGGATGTCTGGCTCGAGGTCAGTGATTATACCGTCGTGGTTGTCAAGGACATCGAGGTCTTTCTTGTATAGTTCTTCTGTGTATTCTTGCCATCTTTTCCTAATCTCTTCTGCTTCTGTTAGGTCCCTACCGTTTTTGTCCTTTATCATGGCCAGCTTTGCATGGAACGCTCCCTTGATTTCTCCAATTTTCTTGAAGAGATCTCTAGTCCTTCCCATTCTATTGTTTTCTTCTATTACTTTGCACTGTTCATTCAGGAAGGCCTCCTTATCTCTCCTTGCTGTTCTCTGGAAATCTGCGTTCAGTTGGGTAAATCTTTCCTTTTCGCCTTTGCCTTTCGCTTTCCTTCTTTCCTCTGCTATTTGTAAAGCCTCATCAGAAAGCCATTTTGCTTTCTTGCATTTCTTTTTCTTTGGTATGGTGGTGATTGCTGCCTCCTGTACGATGTCACGAACCTCTGTCCATAGTTCTTCAGGCACTCTATCTATCAAATCCAGACCCTTGAATCTATTCTTCACCTCTACTGTATATTCATCAGGGATGCGATCTAGGTCAAACCTGAATGGCCTCGTGGTTTTCCCAATTTTCTTCAGTTTAAGTCTGAATTTTGCAATGAGTAGCTCATGATCTGAACCACAGTCAGCTCCAGGTCTTGTTTTTACTGACTGGATAGAGCTTCTCCATCTTTGACTGCAAATTATATAGTCAATCTGATTTCGGTGTTGCCCATCTGGTGATGTCCATGTGTAGAGTCGTCTCTTAGGTTGTTGGAAAAGGGTGTTCGCTATGACCAGTGTGTTCTCTTGACAAAACTCTGTTAACCTTTGCCCTGCTTCATTTTGCTTTCCAAGGCCAAACTTGTCTGTTATTCCAGTTACCTTTTGACTTCCTACTTTAGCATTCCAGTCCCCTATGATGATGAGGACATCATTTTTTGGTGTTAGTTCTAGGAGGTGTTGTAGGTCTTCATAGAACCGGTCCACTTCAGCCTCTTCTGCATCAGTGGTTGGGGCATAGACTTGGATTACTGTGATGTTGAATGGTTTGCCTTGGAATCGGACAGAAATCATTCTGTCATTTTTGAGATTGTATCCCAGTACTGCCTTTTGCACTCTCTTGTTGACTATAAAGGCCACACCATTTTTTCTACGAGATTCCTGGCCACAGTAGTAGATATAATGGTCTTCTGAGTTAAATTCGCCCATTCCTGTCCACTTTAGTTCACTGATTCCTAGGATATCGATGTTCAGTCTTGCCATCTCATTTTTGACCACGTCAAGCTTACCTTGATTCATAGATCTTACATTCCAGGTTCCTATGCAGTATTGTTCTTTGCAGCATCGGACTTTCCTTTCACTATCAGACACATCCACAACTGAGCGTCCTTTCGGCTTTGGCCCAGCCGCTTCACTCTTTCTGGGGTTATTTGTACTTGCCCTCTGCTCTTCCCCAGTAGCATATTGGACACCTTCTGACCTGAGGGGCTCATCTTCGGGGTCATATCTTTTAGCCTTTTGATACTGTCCATGGGGTTTTCTTGGCAAAAATACTGGAGTGGGTTGCCATTTCCTTCTCCAGTGGATCACACTTGATCTGAGTTCTCTGCTGTGGCCTGTCCGTCTTGGGTGGCCCTCCACGGCGTAGCCCACAGCCTCATTGAACCGCACAAGCCCCCTCACCACAATAAGGCAGTGATCCATGAGGGAGCAAAACAGGGTACCACCACTGAAAAGTATGCAGACGGAGAGTGATTTCTGCTAAGCATACCTTTATTTAGTTGAGAACAAAGACAACTGACCGGCTCGCAGGCCAGCTTATATTCTTTCAGAAAACCCGCCACCAAGCTCACCTAAACACACACCCCACTCCCGATAGGCTATTTAGAGTAACCGAGAGACCTATTGGCCTCCCGGCTGGGGACCTAGCCCTTTCATTGGGCCTGGCTAGGATCCTAGTGGCCCATTGTCTTTTGGCATGAAGCTATTGAGGACTGGAGGGCATGTCAGGCTGAATACATTACAACCACACAAATGGTGGTGACTGAAATGTTTGTCAAATATTTGGTAGGACCCTCTGAAAGGCAATGGGAATTTTGACAAGTGTACACCTGTGGCCAGGTGGTTTTGCCCTGGAAGCTGGAACATGACCCGAGTGACACCACAGAATTTCCTACCTAGGATATTTTGGGAGATTTGGGGGCACTGCTAACGAGGGTGGCCTTTAGCAAGGGGAGGGAGTTAAAGCAGCCATGCAATGCCATACAGTCCCCGCTCCAGAGCTGTTTCCTCCAGAGAAATTAATCTCTATTGTCTGTGGAGACCCGCTGCAATTCCAGAACTCCCCAGAGCTTGGCAGCCATAAGTAATAACTATCATACTTGTTAAATAAAACAGAAGTCCAGGGGCTGTACAACCTTTAAGGCAGAATCACACCTTTCTAAATCCACTGACGTTAACGGGCTCGGAAGACGGGTAACTCTGTGTAGGAATGCCCTTGTTAAAAACTAACGCGAGTCAGAGCTCACTTCATGAGATGTACGCTTAAACTAACTCTAAGGTGCCGTTGGACTCTTGTTTTATTTTGCTGCCGCAGTCTACCCGTCCGGAAGAACTGTTCTGGTTACCCCTGCCATGAAGATAATATATTCAGGTGGGTAGACGTGTTGGTCTGAAGCAACAGAACAGCGTTGGAGTTCAGTGGCACCTTTTAAGAACAACAAAGTTTTGTTCTGGATATAAGCTAACCTTTGTTGGTCTTAAAGGTGCCACTGGACTCAGACTTTGCTCTTCTGGTGACCCCAGTCGCCTTGGGTACCTTCTCTCTCAGGGCTGCGACAATAAAATGTAAAAGGGGAGCCTCACGTACACCACCGCGAGCTCCGGAGAGGAAGCGCAGCATCTGAACTCCTTTCCCCGGCTACAACCCGCCGACCGCACTGCCGCCTCGCAGCCCGAGAACCTCAAGGCGACGCGCGCGCCTCAGCCTTTGAGCCTTACCGCCCCGCCCTTCTTTTGCAAGACCCACCTGCCAGGCGGGACTAGGGGCGTGGCTTCGCGGGGGCAGAGGTTGCCGCGTCAATATGGCGTCTCCCATGGAACTCAGCTGCTGGGGTGGGGACTGGGGTTTGCCGTCCGTGCACGCGGAGTGCCTCGTTGTCATGGTAACGGCGGGCATGAAGGGCGGGGGGGGGCCGAGGCGAGGCTGTAACAGAGTCTCAGGGTTGGGGAGCGTGATGTCCAGGGCTTCTGGGGGCAAGGCTTGTTTTGGGTAGGAGAAGCTTTGTTAACCTCGGGTTGTGCCTGGAGTGAGAGATCTTATTTTGCACTTTTTTGTTCAGCTGTCGAGAACCTCTCAAATAGCGCTACCTTCTGCTCAGAAGTGAGCCCCGTGAGTTCGATTAAGCAAAATAATAAATAATGCAGGCAGTAATCGTAGCAAAATCACGATACCATTGGTGGTTTTACATTCATGTGATGGCCGCGAGTGTTTAAAATAGAATGAAATTAGAGAAATGGTCTCTTTCCC